TCAAAAAAACTCCTGCAATGTGTATTTCCATGTCCTCTCTTCAGCCACTCTCAGGCGCTGCAGACAGAACAGGCTGTTTCGCCTGCCTCATTAATTACTTATGAGCCCCTCCTCTGATAGGCTGACTGCACTTTGAGTAACACGCGACCTCTGGACGGCCTCTGCCAGGACCGGTTGGGGTGAGTGGAGAAAAAACAAATAAAATAGGGAACAAAAGGAAATAAAGGGGGGGTGGAGTCACAGTCTCAGTTCATGGTCTTGAATCCAGCTAGGGAATCTCCACGTGGACGTTGGCATGGTCTTCCAAGGGGGCGTTGGTCCCCCAGGGCACTCCTGCCTTCCTCATGGTCCAACATGCGCAGTAGGTGGACCCATGGCTCCAAAGGCTAGAGGTCTTCTGCTGGTGGTTGCGTGACCCTCCATTTCAGCCCTGCGACAGACTAGGTCCATCCCTCATCAGGACCAGAGCCACACAGCATGGACCAAGGAGGGGAGGAGAAGACCCAAGGAATTAGAGACATAATAACATAATAACAAAATACAACAAAATAAACTAGGCAAAGATGGACACAGCTGTAGAAGACCAGCCACACATTCACATTCAGTTACAACAGGATGTTTCTGAATGGTAAGTTACAGCGTCTCTTGTTTGCCAATGTAGTAGTAACTTCAAGGTTACAGTCCCGAGTTACAGTACGAAGTAACGTCTAAATTACAGCACCGCTGCATGTAGAAATAGTTTACTCTGTACTTCTCTTGACCTTTAAATGTAAAGTGCCTTGAGATAATGTTAATTATGAATTGGCGCTAAAATTCTGTTAAATTTTATTGAATTGAATTCTCTTATAGTGCTTGGTTTAAAAGCTCAGCTCATGTAACAAAACGCTTAGCTACAAAACACTGCATTTGATATGATGCCAGTTGTTCTATAAGGTTAAAACATAAGGCAGATTGCATTGTGTATAATGATGTTTTAAGATGTTTTAAGTATTCTGTAAAAGACATTAACTGAACTGGCTTCTCTGATAAGAAATACTGTATGAAATTGGCTAGTGTATAGCTAACATGATGTAAACTGAAATGGACATTTATATCAACTGGTTATTAGATATGTTAACTTCAATTTATGAAATTAATCATTTGAGGCATATGTATATTGCTGTGTTTGGTAGTAATTGATTTAAATACATTTATTTAAATGTATTATCAGATTAAATTCTTTATAAATGTGGTCACGTTTACATTGTGAATGTCCCCTGAAAAATGTAGATTTACTTATGTACCAATACTACATTTCATTTCTTTTATTATATTTACATTTATTCTTTACAAATATATGTACTTATACTGTATGTCAGGCATCAGAAAACTGCAGGCAGCTTAGCCTGGACAAGATCCAAGGTAAACAGGAACAGTTGGAGTGTCACCGCTGTCAGCCCGAGCTAGAGCCAAGTCAGACCGCTTAAGCCAACTATATAATGAGGTTTAGCCAGAACAGAGCAGGCATAAGGATGTAATAAATGTTTATGTGATGTATTAAGGGAGATATGAAGAGTGCCATCTCAAAACTATAATTCATACAATTTATATTATATTATAGTATATTTTTGGGGCTTTTATTGCCTTTAATTGATAGGAAGGAGAGCAAGCTGTGAAATCGGGACAGAGAGTGAGGGAGGACATTGCAGAAATGGCCACAGGTCGGAGATGAACCCAGGAAGCTGCGGTTTGAGGCACTGCCTCGTTGGGGCGGCAGCTCTACCAGGTTAGCTATATGCCGCCCTCTGTATTCTCACTTAAATGTTACCTTCTCACCCCCTTCAAGTGTTTCCTGATAGTAAAAGCCCAAAAATGTATTTTTTCCCTATATGGGGCCCTTAAAAGATATCCCTGACTAAAACCTAGTTCATGCTTCTGCGTCACGTCGACGGCGTAGGTACGGCATCGACGTTGAGCATTCGAAGTTCTGCGTCGAGGGAACGCGTTTCTCTGCAATTCACCGCCATGCCGCTAGGGGGGTGTGACTGTGTGTTTGTGTGGTTATAACTGACCCGATTTTCCTTAAGGCAGTTGGTTCAAGAGTTTAGGATCTAATCTAGTTTTCAGAACACACAGAAGACCTCTGGCTGAGGACATGTATTTTGGTTCTGGTTAAAAGCCTGACAGCTGAGTCCTGTACAGTCTGGAGTCGATCCATAGAGTAGTAAAAGGGAAGTAAAAAGGCTGTTACAATAGTCTTGGCGTTATGCAGTGGCGGCTGGTGGAGTTTTCCAGGGGGGGCTATAACTCCAAAATAGACATATACCAAAAAGCAAGCAAACATATACTAAGGTATCACACTAGTGTATTTACATGAATGAAAACAACAAAAGCATAATAATATACAATGATAGAGATTAACAAAATATCAGTATCTTATGGCAAAAAAGAAAAGAAAACACTGTTTTTATCTAAAGTTTATAAAATCAGAAAGTAAAAGATGAACATTGTTGTGATGACAGTGTTAATTTTACCAACCATAATGGATATAGAAATTGACTCAATATTATCCATGATACGTTGCAATTAGTGCCAACTGTAAGCAGTTGCAGGTCATCTTAAGTTGAGGGAGGAACACATAAAGTGTTATGCAGATGAAGCTTGTGAAGGTCGTCCTCATGTTGACCAACCTGAAGCTGCCGATCTCCACCACGTTGCTGCTGCCACAGTGGATTCTGAGGACATCAGGTGTTGCACTGCTTCATGAAATGAAATGAAAAAAGTCACGATAAAGGATGTTTTATGCTGAAATCATTGTCACATCTGTAGATTAAGGAACATAGGAGAAACACGATTATTTACAGATACTGTAAAATACAATAATTACAATACTTTTGACACATGTAATATCAGCTGTGTTAAGCAGCCAAGACTGGTACTTACAGTTTATTCTGTGTTCAGCAGGTGGATGCACCACAGATTTCAGCCAAACTGATGTACTAAAATAAATATTGTACCACATCTGTAATATTCAAGGTGATAATCTCTCACAGTGCTGTTGATAACAGTCCACATCAAATCCCTCAACTTCTCTCAGTGTTAAAACAGATAAATATATAATAAATATGAGCACTGTTTACAACAGTGGTGTGTGGAGATTATAATCACATCTAAACTGTCATATAATTACACATCTGCACTGGGTCTAATTCACTGGGAATTCCATAACAGGCTAAAAAAATGA